CTAAAGTTGTTAAGTGTACAGTTATTTTAAATTAGAAGTCTCACTGAGTGAATATCTTGTTATGAAAATAAATTTTGCATCAGGAATTTGAAATAAAATGGCATGGGTTATTAAGTGCTCTGTTTCTTTTAAAGTTTTATAAAAATTGTTCTTACATGATATGTTTTTGGTGTTATGGGAAATGATCTGGTTACTGTATTGTACAATGCAACATATCATAGAAGATATTATGCAGAAACACTCCATAGAAAGACATTGTTATTTAATTCTGATGTGGTACATTACCTCGGTTCACAAATAGCTATTCTCGTTCAGTGCTGCCCTCTATATGCAAAACATTTTTTTTCAATGCCACAAGGCTTGAGCTCCCACATACCTTACAATCAAATGGTTCAACTGCGTCTCGTATGTAAATCATGTGACAACCCTCCATCAATAGGAGAGTGACACACTCTCCTGACACATACGTCCTCCTCTATTCTATTCTACCGAACTGTCACTTCTTGTTTAGCAGTAATCATGTCAATACTTTTTTTTATTGTGATCTTCAATCATGTTTTTCTTTCAACTTAGTGCTTTTTTTATATACTAATTCAGAAGTGGATTCATTTTTCTTTTTTTTCAGAAGTTACTGAATTTTTTTTTTTCTCATTCAATGGTTGTATTTGATTATTCATTGTTACACAATTAATTCCGAAGTAAAAGTTACCACTTCGGAGGTAATACCTTTTACTAGCACACTCACACAGGCTACAGGTGGGAGTAACTTGTCTATGGACTTATCAACCTTCATTTGCTGTGAGATTGATCATTATCTGAGTCGAACTGCTTCTCCTGATGTTGATCCTATTCCTCCTGAACATGCCGAACCTGTTCAGGTTGATGAGGATTTTGACAGCCTTTTTCCTCCAACTGATCTTGCCATGTATTCCTATGCCTCTACTGTGGTATCTGCTAGGCCTAATACAGCTTTTTTAGACATTATCTCTCAGGTATGTTCTGTTTTATCCATTTTCCCGACTTCATAGGATCCCCTACCTTCTTTCTTACATGATACCCCCTCCTCTCAGTATTTGGTTTTCTCCCCTTCCCTGGATATTAGAGTTCATGTAGAGCATTTTATTTCTCAGATGGTTGATGGTGCTAGCATGCCTCACCCTCCATTGGCTTTGGATCATTTTGCTTTGGCCTACCATCAGGCTGAATGTTCGTTTCTTTTTTGCAACAATTGGAATCGTTTGCCCATGCGGGGTTCCTCCTCTTGTCATATTTTTTTATGCAAATGGACACATCGCCAACGGTACCGGCGACTACCCAGTGGGTTCCATTGCAGTGGGGGCTTGCTTGACCAATTTTGTTCCCCTTTGGTGTCTTTTCACCACAGATCTGTGGGTTATTTTGATATTATCTTCGGGACTTGTCCTCCAATTTCTTTTCCCTCCTCCATTGTCTCAGGCACCTGTATCCTTTCCATTGCCTCAGGATCATACCACCACTCAATGTCTGACTGAGGCAGTGCAAGGTTTTCTCTCCCAGAATACCATCGAACCTGTCACTCATTCTTCTCCGGGTTTTTATTCAGAGCTGTTTGTGGTACCTAAGAAAACTGGGGACTGGTGGCCTTGATCAATTTGTCCCACGTAATTCAATTTTTGGTGCTACCCTGATTTACTATGGAGTCTTTTCTCACCCTCAGGTGGGCTTTTTCTCCAGGTTTGTGGATTTACAAGGTAGATGTCGCGAATGCTTACCTGGATGTTCCAATACCTCTTCTATCAAGTTGCTATCTTCGGTTTGTTTATCACAAGGTAGTTTATCACTTTTGCGCCTTGCCCTTAGGGCTTGCTTCAGCCCCATATGTCTTTTTTCAGGTGATCAAGGCTTTTGACTGACTTTTGCATGCTTACATCATTACATGGATGACTGGCTTCTGTTAGCTCCTTCTGAACAGGAGTCCACCCATCACACTTATCTACTGCTCCTGGAAGCAGCTCGTGTAGACTGTTTAATTAAATTGGAAAAGTCATTCCTTATACTTACCCAATATCTTGTCCACTTGGGTGTCTTTTTCAACACTCATCTCAGTTGGGCCCAATCTTCTCGTCTTCGACTTCATTTGATGGAGCTTTCAGTTCTCCATGCCTTACTGTTCCCTCTCTTACATCTCGCAAGGTTCTATCGCTTTTGGGGGTGTGGTCTTCCATGGAAGCTCTTATCTTCTTGGGTCGAGCGCATGTGAGGTTTCTTCAGTGGGAGCTGTACGACCAGTGGAATCTTGCATGGGATCTATTAGAGGCTCCTATTTCCATTCCTCCTTCCCTTTTCAGTGATCTGCATTGGTGGTTGGACAGGGCTCACACATCAGTGGGTGTTCCACTTCTTTACTCTTGTCCGAATTTGTATATCTTCACGGATACTTCCCTTTAGGGTTGGGGGTGTGGGTCAGTCAGCAAGAAGCTTTAGGTCAGTGGTCTCCTGCCAAAATATCTTACCATATCAACCTCCTGGAGCTTCTGGCCATATGTCGTGCTTTGGATAATTTTCTTCATCCTGCCAGGAATCAACTGGTCATGATCCGTTCCGAAAATTCTATGATGGTGGCTTATATCAATCCCCAAAGTGGCACTTGTTCTCAAACCTTGAGTCTCCTTTTTTGGGCCCACATGCTCCGTGACCTTACGTGCCATGTTCTGGGTGCATTCAATCTTGTTGCAGATCATCTTTCCCATCCCAACAAAGTTTATTCAATGGAATGGTTTCTCTATCCTCTTGTTTTCCAGTAATTACACCTTCAGTGGGATACTCTTCACCTGGATGCAATCACCACATCTCTCAATACCAAGTTATCTATGTTTTTCTCTCTGGTTCCACATCCATTTGCTCTGGCTGTCAATGCATTCGATCAAGATTGGACCAAAAAATACCTGTATGTTTATCCTCCCATTCGTCTTCTTCATCATCGATCATCCACACCACTCTGTGTCAATTCCTTCTGATTGCTTCTTACTGGCCTCTTTATATTTTATATGAATTTTTTCCTCTATATTAGAATTTGTGATGTTTATTGTTATATATATATATATATATAGAGAGAGAGATGAATTGATAGATAGAGAGATAGGTTACATATGTATGTTGTATGTCAACATTTTAGTTTGCTGATGATGGAACATGAAATTCTGAAATGTTTGAAGATTAAATATGTTGTTTTGTTTTACCATAGTGACAGATGGCACCTCTGTATTTAAATATTTTACCATAAATACTGATATTGCCTATAGCTAGTATGTAGTAGGTTTCTGGGCTTAAAAACATGCCATGCATTTGCAAGATCACTCACTGTACATATATTATCTTAAACTATGTTATCTTTTAAGCCTATTGTAATAAGTATTGCAATAATAAATATTTCATTTTTTAAGTTGTTTAATTGATAAATGTGAACTTATACCCTAGTTCCTACTCAAAGAACAGTGTTAAGGCAGTTTGCACTAGGAAAAAAGCTAGATCCTATAATTAATCAGTATTTCAAAAATTTAAGCAAATCATGAATTCAGAATCTAAGGTTGTGTTGCGTAGTGCAGACAAAGTATTCAACACTGCAATCATTTTGGTGTTTCAGGACTTATACATAGATATGTCATCATTGCAGTAACAAGAGGTTTGAAGATTTGTTTGGTGGTAATTAAAGAAAGGAAACTAACTTGTACAAGAAGAGGCACATTTTGTTTTTCTAGTGGGAACAATATAAAATGAGACAGAAGAATGCTGGTCAACAAATAATGAACATTCAAGTGAAGATGCGACAGTGGTCAGTCTCGGTTCTCAGAGCTAGAAGAGTTGAAAGAGTTTAAACTTCCCTCACAGTTCACATTTTTCCTGTTGCTAACTAATAAGAAGTTGGACTGTAAAAATCTAGAGCTATCTCTGCTTCTTGCGATAGTTTTGAATTAACCTCACAATCAGGGTGCTTTTGGGTACAGTATTACAATCCCTTGAAAAAGCATATAATGTTCTTGATAGCTATGTACCACAAAGAGTAATTCTGCAAAGGATGAATTAGTGCATAACCTATTCGTATTTCCACATTCAGAACTGAACTTTGGCAAAATTAAAAAAATAATAGTTTATTGATAATATGTTTATGTTACTTGATGTACAGGGAAGACATTAAGAGTCTTCCAGGGAATGACATGGATGGGCAGATCCAAACACTAACTCTCCTTACACCACTCTATGCAGGGCCCTAAGGGTGACAACTCTAGATCAGTTCCAAACACCAATCCCCTATGCCAGTCCCCAAGGGTGCCTTAAAGATGCGTGTTAAGTTAAACTGAGATTTGTTAAAAACTGTAGGTGTGAAAAGTAGACATACAGATGACACTTCTGCTTTTTATATAGATATTAATAGTGTAGTAGATTGTAATACATGATATCTGCATATTACATCATCATCATAATATTTTCATCTTACTCTTTTAATTGGTTGATTTAGAAACTTATCAAATATTGTAAGTAAACATATTTTCAGGATTCATTTTGTTGCTTCACTTTTTCTTGCTTTTCTGATTTCCTTTTTGTAAATTTTATATGTGCCATTAAAGTTAATTCCATTAATTAATTACACATGAAATGAAACTTATTGAAAATGTGAATTACTGAATTCAACTTCTTACCTTTTTAACATGAGTAGAATCTACATGACTCCAAATTGGCTTGGACATTCATAGAAGTCATAATATCAGAAAAATTCTGCTATAAGGGATATTAACCAGTGAATAAAATAAGCAAGGAATATTGTGGTAATACATGATGTAGACAGGTTTAACTGACAAAATGCAGACGTGTGATTCTCAATTGAACATCAGTTTCAAACCAAATTTATAATTTAAATATTTTGGATTCTTGTTCTTACTTATAAATATTTTAATCACTATGAAAATTAAAAACTAAAGCATAGCCAAACTATCTTTCTTTGTTATGTTTAACTTATTACACAGAGATGATTACTACAAAATGAAACTGCAGTGGAAAAGTATTACTCCTGAACAAGAAACTAGATTTTCTGCTTTCCGTGAAAGAAAAAATCTTATAGGTACGTTATAGGTTTAATTTTTATTTCATATAAAACTGGCATTAATATTTCAATTTCATAAAAGAAAATTTACTAAATTTTCCAGTAACTTATTATTGCATGTAAAAGTTGTTTTTAAACATACACAGATACAAAAAAGTATCAAAGTAATTGTTTCTATGGTACATTGTTATTTACGTGTTGCATTTTTGAGGATTATAATCATGTTAAACAGTGTATGTACTTGTAATTTTTAACATTTGGAAGGGTCAAAAAGCATAGTATTATCTCTTACTTTTATACTGGTTAATAGTTATAGAATCAATCATGTGCTTGGTAAAAGGTAAGTAGGCAGTTTTAGCTAGAAAAAGTACAAAAACACAAACCAATTCTACTATTCTTAACTAGCATATACTAGTCAACAGCTTTGAGGCTGTATTTTTTTCATTAATGCTGTATTCATTGAAACTAAATTTAAAATTATGTTTGTTACTAGTAGCTGGACTAGACATAATGGCAACCTTTCTAAAATACTCTTTTTATGTACAATATAAAAAATATAATGTTACAATCTTAAACATTGAAAGCTGGCATAGCTATGGAACCAATACTTATTTAGTCTGTTACAGAATTCAAATTGGAAAAGCCTCTTGGTTAGTGACTCATAGCAGACAAAAGATAGACCTGGTATACTGTTTCTATACACCTCTGACTTGAAATCTGTAATAGACTAATTAACAAGGATCTAAAGAGAAAAAATTTGCAATCTAGTGTGATTTGTATCACTGATATTAAGGCTATAAAGGTAATGCTTACAGCCAGAAAAGCTATGAAGTTTATATTACAGAAATTAAAATTAACTTTGCAGATCCTTGCATTTTTGAAAAACAGTGCAAAACCATGTAATTAAAGTTAACTTTTGTAAAAATACTGTCAAATCTGTAACTGACCTTACTTCATATGCCATAACCTTACGCAGAGTGACACATAATTTTATAACCATTTGCTATAGTATAGTATCCCACATAAGCTTCACTCCACTTCAGTGTGGTATAGTGTAATACCTCAGTTTTCCACATGAACTCCGTTCCACTTCAGTGTATTATAGTATAATACCGCAGTATCCCATATGATGTCTTCATAATATATATATATATCACTAAGTTTCAAATATATGTTTCTGTTTGCAAAGTAGTACTAATTAACACCATTTTATTTATAATCTGTCCAACGAGAAATTTGGCATGGTACCAAAGTATTGGTTGAAATACCATTTAAAGTGTATATATTAGTATATTTTGTTAACAGACGTAACTACTATTTTACCTTCAGACACCAAGCTGACTTGGTGTACTAGGATTGAACAAAAGGTGTTGGTTAGTTTTGGCCACAAAAAAAAAGAAGATTTTAATGAAATTACTAATAGTACACTATTTTTGGTTTAAAGATTTATTTGTCCACATAAGAGAAATGTTTTAAAATATTATCAGTATTATTTGGGGAATATCATATTTACTATCCTGTAAGAATATTTGTTTTGCCAGTTTTAGAATGCATAATTGAAAAGTACATGTAGTAGGATCTCTTACCTTTAGAGTTTTAATGAACCAAAAGATAATGTTTGTGTATAATTTACAACATCAAATAATATTGTAAATAACTTAGGTCATTATATTTTTTGTGATTTAATAGTTTGTGTTCTTAAATGAATATCTGCAATAAAATAAAATTTTATGTACTACTACCATCATATAAAAAGAAGAGTATGGTTAAGTTTTGTCAGGGAGATAACAGCAAAAAGGAAGAGGCCAGACATAAGTTCTAAATTTCTTGTTTTTATGCATATATTTTTATTTATTGTTATGAAAGAAACTAAGATGCATAATTTAGAAAGCTACTAGGTCAGACAAGAAAACAAAACATTTTCAGTAAAGTATGCACACAAGCTTGCTTAATTCAATATTTAGTTTACCTTAACTTCAGCTATGTGCTTTCCAGGTGATTTATAGCTTTGTTATGCAGGTTTAGTAGTTAGACATGGTGCAAAGAGCAATAAAACAATAAAATTAAATGAAAACAGATGTAAACTGTTATGAGCCTTAACCTGTTTAGGATAAATAACAGATAAAATATAAAGTTTTACTGAAAGGCTCTAGAGATCATGCAAATGAAATTGGAAAACTGTAAAATGGAAAAGTATTTTAATCTTAACACGAAAATCACCTTGCACTCAGTCTACTCAGAGTCTCACTCTGACTTCTTAAATTCACAGACAAATTTTAAGTAAAAATACTGAATTAATAATTCTGATTTCTTTTGTGCAAAAGACTTGTAATTTTTACTAAAAGCTTGTCAAACTTTGTGAAGATATACGTAATACATTAAATGTTACAGTATATATATATAGTTCCATGGTCACATGGTGGCTGCAGGATTTGTCAAAATAATCAAACCCATATAGAAAAGGTTAATTTTTCTTTTTTGAGGGATAAAAGTTTTACTATTAAAGAAAACCTTTGAACTTAAAATTGCATTGAGCATCATAGTTTTTGCTACATATAATATGATGTGTATGTATTTATTCTTTTTTAGTCATGAAATTTAACAATGGATTGTTATTATTTTAACTTAGAGAAAGATGTCAGTAGAACTGACAGGACTCATCCTTACTTCATGGGAACTGAGAATGCCAATGTTCAGCTGCTCTATGATATTTTGATGACTTATTGCATGTATAACTTTGATCTTGGTGAGTTTGTGTAGTATTTCAGACATTTATGGCAGAATTCATGGTTAAGGACTCAGATTAGAAATCAAAATGTCATCTATTTGTAAGGTTCATCCAAATTCAAACAATGAAAGACTCAACACTAGTAACCTTTTTTTATGAAATTTATATTTAATGTTTTTCATTTCTTATCTCTTAGTTAGAAGATTTTATTATACTAGAGCAACTTAGCATAAATGAAATTGATGCTGTGGAACTAACATATTTGTATGTTACATATTTTGTGTTTGGGAATGTTAATGTATCCTAAGTAACTGAATTATTATTATAAACAAACTAGAAAATCATGTGCAGAAAATTTTCTCGTCAAACTGTTTGAAAAACTTGTAAAACGTACAAAATGTCACTGAAGAAGCTGTTGGGGAATAAAATGAAATATAATATTTTGTAATTTTGCAGTACAATATTTTTAACATTTCTAAAAATGTTTTCATGTTAGTTGTTTTATGTCTGTATTTTCTTAGCTGCAACAAGTGGTTCTAAAGTGAGTCACTGTACATCTTGAAAACTAATAACATTACCTGAGCTATTTGAATCCACTGTGTGTATTCTCTAAAGCCAAAGTATTTTTGGAAACTTGTGTCATGTACTATTGTAAGGTTATGTGAGGCTGTATTGTATTTAAAACTGTCCTTGTCATGGTCAGTTGTCTGTATTACTTTGATTTATCACCTCAGGTGGTTCTTTTGGGTTTAGTTGATTTTTGCTAGTAACATCAGTAATGTGCATCATATTTTCCATGATTTCATGGCTGCTTTTGTATTGTACTGAAGAAATAAGATGATTTTAAGTTTTGTGTTACTGTTGGTGAAGTGCAGTCTACTGAGTGAATTGTTTCTATGCAAGATAACATTGAATAAAATAACAGAGCAAAACTATAACCCTCTGAATATGTATAGTTCCTATTAAATGAAAAGGCATGGTAATTTGTTTATATCATATAAACAGGTATAGTAATTATATTTTATATGCTGTAGTTATTCTGTTGACTCAATATTTTGTCTACTTTATGCTGCTGTTGTCCTTAAACTTATTTTCTTCTTTCTTTCTAATTTCAAAAACAAAGATAATTTCTCTTCTCTGCTGAATTTCTGTTCAATTTATCAAAGTGTTGCATCACCAGGAAAAATTTTATGGATTGTCAAAGGTAAAGAGTACTTGAATTGTTGTAACTTACAGCATTACTGCATTCTTTTTATCCTTTCACCAAGTCTTCTTCTTGTGGAACTGATGTAAGTGCCTTTACATGGTGGGCAACAAAATTCATAAACTACACAACATCTATGTTGAGGACTATTTCTATCTGTAACTGGGAGCAGATTTTGAAGGCTCACAAAAGATTTGAACACTCATTGTTTACTTGTATTTTAAGATTGTTTTCCTCATTTTACATCTTAAAAAAAAACCTTTCATCATTGTTTACCAAGGTTGGTGGTGATCTCGCTGTTGTTTGTCACATTTGAAAAATAAATGACAAGGATGGAATAAAGAAGAGTATAGGTTATATAGTTTGTGGTATGGTAGTGGAATTTGCATACCCTGACTTGGTAACAGTGTATGGTATTAAATATTTAAAAAGGCATCTTCATTGGATAAACTTCAGTCACTGTAGAAACTGTTCCTTTTTAGATAACATGTTAATGGAATACTTACTATGGATGCAAAATTTCAGGTTTCTGGGTTCTTTCCTCTTGGAGCTTTGGCAGTCACATTTCTTTTCTATTTGGTTTTTCTCATAAAAAGATGTGCATCCATTTATGTAAGTAATAATACCCAAGTGCACACTCTTAGGGTCCACTGTGTATGGGTGAAAAATTTCAGGTTTCTAGGTTATTTGTTCTTTGTGCTATGGCAATCACATATTATTTCAGTTGTGGTTTTTCTTTAGCTTGCCTCACAAAAAGATGCACACGCACTTGGATAAGTAATAGTACCCACTTAGTATGTGTGTAAAATTTCAGCTTCTTTCCTCTTGGAGCTATGGTAGTCACACACATACAGACAAACAGACATGCCCTTTTACTGTTATAGATTTATTAGTCACGTAACTCAAGCTTTTTGTTACTGTTGCTGATAAAAACATTCTTTTGTAGACATTATATATATGTGCATTGTTTAACTTTCTGAATGCCTTTTCTTACATTTTGTACACTACAAATTTAAAATGTTATACATTTTTAATTAATAACTTGTGTATACTTTGAGATTAGATGTGCCTACATGGCTCTGACTTCTTACAGGGGTGGCTTACTAAAGTCTAGTAAAATTAGTTTCATTAATTTTCTCCAGAGGATGTGTATGAATTGACCTGTCATAAAAAGTCAGTTTTGCATGAATGAGGACTAGTTGGGTTAATTTTTACTGAACATATCACCCATTTCTGATTTTGAAAGTGAAAATTAACTTATGAAATTATCCAGGATCCAGAAACATGAAAAAGAAATATATATATATTTGTTATTTATAGAAAACTTTCCATAAATGTTTTATCTTCTTAAACTTGAGATGGGTTGATTGTACATCTATAAAATTTGATGCTTCTATATCAGATGCTTAAATGAGCTGAAAAGAAATAGGATATTCTAATAAGTATATTGTCTGGGGAATAGGGATCGAAACTTTAAATTATTTTCTTGTGTTTTTAGATGTAAAATTTTTCACTTAAGATATTTAGTCTCTTAAACTGTTGGGTTTTAATAACTTTGTACATTTAAAGTTCTTTACAGCTTCTGTTTGAATGAAGACTACCTATATGTAACAACTGTTGCAACCATATATCCAGAATGTCAGCACATTTAAGCAAGTATACACCAGTATAAATACATCCAAAACAGGATTTATTTAAATTCCTAAAAAAAACATACAAAATTTCACTGAATGACACCTAAACCTTGTAATATAATAAAAACCCAGTTTTTAGCAATTTTATGTAAGTAGCTATGCACTACCTGACTTACATAAATACAAAGCAACTAACAATGAGTTCCAAGTGTACAAGTAAAACATCTAACAACCAGGAGTTGGTGAATAAGGGACTCAAGATGGTAAGGCAAGACAGCTCTTCTAAATAGTACAATCTGGATATGCACACAACTTTTAAAGCTCAGTTTCATGTTTTAAAAAGTTTGAATTCTAGCAGTACAAGCACAACAACTAAAAGAGTTCAGAAGTGCTTGTATTTATGTGTAAGAATTGGTAACTTCTATAATTATAAAATACAATTTTAAGGTTTTTCTTTATTAATCTTTTGTTTAATTAATTCATGTTTATTAGCAAAAAATGTATGAATGTCTTACATTACACAAGTGGAAACATATACTAACATATACTACAATTATAAATTTTAAGAATATTTGTAAAAAAACATTCATGCTATTGTTGCTATGAGTTATCACAAACATCAGTTTTAAATGGTCTACCACTTTATGACTCATGGTAGTGGTACAAAAATCCATGAAAACTTTGTACAGTTTATATAATTTACAACCAAAACTTGTTCCAACTTTATTGTAAATTGTTAAGTTAGCTGTGGGAGTTTGATACAGTATTGTAGAAAAACGAATTCATTACACTGGTGAACATTAGTTTGATGTGTGTTATATGTTAATTGTTATTGTTAAGACATAAGTATAACAGCTATTTTAAGCACTCTACTTCAAGTCTTGTATGCATTGTTTAAACAAATTTGCTTACCTTTGGGGAAAACAATGCAGCCCGCCCTGAAAAAAGTTTTGCATCTTTAATGTCACAGTTATGATTTTATTACTGAAGTTTATATATACTACTTACAGCTGTTATTGAAGCTCTCTTTGATCACTAGCTTCGTACTAGAGCTGAATATTGTGTTTTATGTAAACAGTTTATCCATAACTTGGATTAAAAGGCTGTGTTTCCACGAAAAACTTAACTTTTCTGGTAATTTTAGGGTATGTTCAAGGGATGAGTGACTTGTTATCACCTATTCTTGTTGTGATGGAAAATGAAGCTGATGCCTTCTGGTGCTTTGCTGAGTTTATGGAAAATGTGGTAAGTTGATAATAATATACACAAGTAAAAGTAATAAAATTAGGTAAGAAAATGCACAATATTATATAGTTCAATAATACTTTTATCCTTGAATTACTGAGGGGTCTGTATGAACCCCATCTCTTTTTAACTGGTTATGTTTGTGAGTGTGTAACTTTCTTAGTTGTGGTTTTCCTAATGTCATGTGAGCCACATATAAAATACAAACAAATTATCCTCAGTAATACATTTAATTCCACAAAATATTACTAGGTTCCCCTTTTAATTTATATAGAAAATTAATGTTGTTGTAGGTAAACCATAAAATTACTCAGTATGATGGAAAGTGTGAACCCCACCAAACCAGTTGGTACTGTGTAACTAAACCATCTATAGTAACTTTTAAGGTATAAACTTGATTTAATGTGAACAACTATATTTGGTTATTTCTTAGGGATCAAACTTTGAATTAGACCAGCAAGGAATGAAGACTCAGCTTCAGCAGCTGTACTCTGTCATCCATTTTGCAGACCCCCATCTGTGTGATTATTTAGGTATTTAATTTCTATGTATATAGTTTTATTCTTATTCATATACATCTTTGGAGTGATAGTTGTGGCCTTTATTTCCATCTAACCAAATTTACTTTTATATCGGATCATATAACCTAACCCTGTGTTTTAAACTGTGCAGTTCTTTGTGTAATACTATTTTCTGTACACATAAATTCACATATTTAACATGAATTGTGCTGGTGCATGATGGTGTCATCACATTACAATAACCCTCCACTAATAGGAGGGCGACACTATTTCTGTACTCACTTACTCCCCTGAAGCACTTGTGCTCAAGCTAACTTAATTATTTTCCTTAGTACTCTCTAGAATGGATGTTTTAAGCTTTTTATTCAATTACATGAAATTTTCACTAGTTTACGGAAAACTTCAGATTCATTCCAGTGTCACTGGTTTACTTTATTCTTAAAGAAACCAACATTTTTTTTCTATTTACCCATTATAACTCTTTAAATGATGGTAATTTTCATTTTGGCTCATGATAGCAATGATATTCCTAACACAAAACCTGAGTTTTTATGGCTTCTGGGACTTGTTATCTGTGGTAGACATAACAGCCATTGTTCCACATGTTGGTTCCTTCATGCAAACCAGGCCTACTCCTCCCATCTATTCAGCCAACCTACCTTCTCCCCATTTTAAACATAATCAGGTTGATGGTGAGTTGACCTGTTATTTCCTCTGTCAAGGTTTATTTTAGGTTTGACTTCCTGTATGACAAGATTCGTCACTCTTCCTTGACATGATTTCACAGGTATGTTCTTTTCTTTCTTTTTCCTTTTTGTTTTCCATTTTTCACCTGACTTTTAAATCCATGCAGTCTTGTTTTTTGATCGACTATACACCCTTCCTAACACCAGAAAAATTCATTGAATTTCATACGATTTCTAGAACACAGATGGTGAAAAAAAAAAATTATCATTAATGCCAAAACATCAAATAAATATTAATTCTGGCACATTTAGCACATCAATATGCATATTTTATGCATAAACATTGTTTTATCTACATTGATCTTTTTGCTTACCATTAATTGTCGTGGGGTATGAAGACAGCAATAGTAGATTATGTAAATAATAGCTAGGTTTCTGCATGATCAAAGCATCAGGGCTCTGGAAAAGGCTTTGTCTCATCTTCCTGTTCTTACACTTTGTATGCATTAGTAAAAAAAATCTCACGTTTCGGTCAAACTAGCAGCTTTCTATAATGCATTGTAGTTAGTTGATTATCTATATCAAGGTCAATTTCACCATCACATTGATCCAGGAAATGCAGGAATAATTTAACTATAAATGCTGTGGATGTTTCATCAGTATGTCTGATTATGTGTATGAAGTGTTCTGTATGTGTGATTACCATTTACAACTTAATTATTTGTAAATATAATCTGGCAATCATTTGAATGAATAAAACTTGCATAAATCTGTGCTTAGTAATAAGCTGTTCCCATTATAAAAGCTATTTTGATCTTACAAATTTTAGCGTATTAATAAAACAATCCCTGTGCCAGTAGTCATAGATAGAACAGATAATACCCTGGATATATTACTTCTTTGACATATTTACCTGGGAAGGATTTGAAAGCTGTCAAAACAAAAACAAACAATTTTATTATATTGCTAAAGCCTGGCAGTTTAAAGATAGAACAAATAAGCAAATCAAATTTTGGTGAGTTCTTATTTCATATCTGTACTTATATTTATCCAATTAATTATCAAATATTAACTATGATAATTATATAAAATTACAATTTATCAGTAGTTTGTTTTATAAATCACTAAGCATTGCTTGTACCAAATAAACATCATTATGCATAGTACAGTTTCAAATGGGGGTCATTGACAGGCAATATTTCCAAGAGACAGGTAGATTATCAACTTGGAGTGGGGATTACTGACAGACGATATTTTCAGGAGACAGGTAGAATATCAACTTGGAGTGGGGATTACTGACAGACGATATTTTCAGGAGACAGGTAGAATATCAACTTGGAGTGGGGATTACTGACAGACGATATTTCCAAGAGACAGGTAGATTATCAACTTGGAGTGGGGATTACTGACAGACGATATTTTCAGGAGACAGGTAGAATATCAACTTGGAGTGGGGATTACTGACAGACGATATTTCCAGGAGACAGGTAGATTATCAACTTGGAGTGGGGATTACTGACAACAATATTTCCAGGAGATAGGTAGAATATCAACTTGGAGTGGGGATTAGTGACAGATGATATTTCCAGGAGACAGGTAGAATATCAACTTGGAATGGGTATTATTGGCAGGTGATATTTCCAGGAGACAGGTAGAATATCAACTTGGAGTGGGGATTACTGACAGACGATATTTCCAGGTGACAGGTAGAATATCACCAGTAGCAGTTAAGGAAAACCTGTATAAGGTAGAATATGGATGGCAATGAATAATATCAGTAATTTGAAGATAAGGTTTTGAAAAAATCAATCTTAACAAATACTGAAACATGAATGATTCATTGACAGCAACTAATAATATGGCACATGAATATACTGTTACCTCTTATCCATTAATCTTTGTAGGATGTGCAATTGAACTTCTGAATAACTAGTGAATAACTAAATATGTCCTGTTTATCTAGTAATCTATAATTTAATGCATTGTACATTTGAGTAATAAATTAAAAAAATTTCCTATTTGAAGAGCAACCAACACTCACCCATTGGGAATGAAATTCGTGCATCAGTGTCTATTTACACACTTTACCTGCATTAGTAAAAAAAGAATCTCACATTTTGGTCAAACTAACAGCTTTCTATAATGTGTTATAGTAGGTTGATCATGTAGATCCAGGTGAATTTCAGCATCGTGTTAATCCAGAAAATACACCATTTTGCTTCAGTGAATGAAAAAACTTATGGGTGTATGTTCCCCAAGTCCCCTCAAAGGGGCCCACCTCTGACATTTGTAGCACTTTATTGTTCACTAAAATTTTACTTTTTCAAATGTCTCACTCAAAGTGATTCTTGAAAGTTCCCAGTGTTTGTGAATGAACAAAACTTGCATAAACCTGGAAATATTTTTTGTAACATTATTAATTGATAAATATAATGAAAAACGTCTTTAATATGGACATTTTGGAATTTCCTTAAATTCCATCATCAGCATTAATATCTCAAAAAAAAGTTAGTTCATAATATTTGAACTACAAAAAACATTATCATTGAGCAAGTTTTCTTATTCAATCAGTATTTATTAAATGTGTATGCTGCACATTTTATCATACATTCCATTATATTGTTACCGTTTGAATCTTTTCTTTCTAAACTTCCGATTGAATACTAAAATTTGCTAATACTAATGTTGTTTTTTGTAGTTCAAATATTATAACTAACTTTTTTTGGAGATATTAATACTGATGATGGAATTTAAGGAAATTCCAAACGTCAGTATTAAAGATGTTTTTTGATATTACCATGTTTTTAATATTTATTATAATACTTCATTTTCCACTCGATAAATATATGGATACATTAATTAAAAAATTTCATGACTTTGATATAGATGAACTTGATGTGCACAGCTTCAAAGCACATGCAAAAATAATAAATTGTTCTTTAGATGATTTCATTAATGTGTGCAGTTGGTTTATAGATATCACAAATCTGTATTTACCACACTCTATGGTTGGGAGCTGAAAGTTTTGTGCATTTATACACATCAGAAAATGTTGCTTCCATAAATACTTGGCATGTGAGAGTCTCTTTGTTAAAGAATATTCAATTTTACAACAGTAAACATGTTCCTTCTGTGTATTAAAATTCAAAACATAAAATCACAAATGTTAAAATCTGTAGTGCTGATGTGCTGTAAAAAATTTTTGTGATTAAAATTTAAAAATGTTATCAGTATGCAATATCATAAATAAGTGGATAAACTGCCAGTGTTGTATATGTTTTGATAAAGTTTGAATAATTTGAGAACAGTTTGACCATTCATATTGAAACTTTGCAAGATGGTATTTAGCTGAATGTGCATGAAGAAGTAATGTTGACAGGTTTACAGAGTATATCTTCTACGTGTGTATATGGTAAGATTTTAGTCAACAGTGCAAGTCTATTGTACACAAAAAAATCAGATGTGTTAAAATGTATTGAAGGTATGTATGTGAAATTATGAGGTCAGCCTGATTCAGGCAAGCTCTGGCAGGTTGGAGTTCAAGGTGATGTACATGTGAACAATGAAAACATGTTTGTCAGTTATAAGTTTGCAAATTGCATTTGCATAATGTCTGCAACTTCCAAAATGCATATCTAAAATACTTTCAATATCCTTATGTATTTGGTATTTTCTATACAACAAACTATTGTAAAATCAGCAACATAGGGTAGCATAAAAAGTTGATAACTCTGACATGAAATTCATAATACCATCTTTAATGGCATTCTGTATAAAGTAAGAGCATACACATTTTGACCCCCACCCATGCCCATGCAGACTGACTCTTAACATACAACCTGTCTTCTCTTTATTAAACAATATATAAGCAATGTTTTGAAGTTTCACATTTTATTATAGTTAATTTAATGATACATTAAAAACATAGATCAAATGATCAGAATAACATATTGTGGTTAGGGAAAAGTCAGGAGATTTTGTTCTAAGCAAGGTGTGGGAACTGTGGTAACAGCTCTTCAGTTACATTTTCAGCTGGATGTTATTTTCTGATAATTTCTCCTAATACTTTAATTTCTTTTAGTCTATGTGTGTTATTTTCTGTTTTTCATTTTTATAATTACTATATGTACTTGGAGTCGAGAAATTATAATAAATTTATTAACATTGATTTCTGAATGTGTAAGGCATTAGAGCACACATTGTCTACATTCTACCTCTTCATCATTTCCTGCATTGCACAGTTGGCAATAGTAAAGCACTTCAGAAGAAGAGGTTTAAGGCTTGTGCCTCTGAAGCATGAGCATACAGTTTTGTTTAAATAACATGTCAGACACCATGTATAATGCTAATTTAATGTTTATTCTATTTATCCTTTACAGTTGAAACGTTTATTTTTTTTATAGTATAATGTAAAATATAAGTTTTCACTGCTAAATTTGTATCAAGTGCTTTATTCCTGAATGTTGTATTTAAACCTGTGACTTCATTTGAATGATTGAGGAAAATAGGATTTTCAGTTTTCAAGCTACACTGAGTAGTGTATTTCAAGAGTATTTCCTTCAGTTATTTAGTTAATTTCCTTCAGAAGATTCGGGAAGTTTTTAGCAACTACAAGTGTAGTTTTGTTGTTGTGTTTGTTCACATGCATTATCTTTAAGTAAACATGTGTTGAATAGAAGCCCCAACTTCAAAATGTCTGTTAGACAATTTCAAAAACTTCATCTCTGCAGAGAAAAGACAAGTCAGGCATCAACTTTCTCAAAAAAATGTTGTGATCATAATCGAGTCCCATGGTTCCTAAACTGCAGATTAACTCCTCCAAATGACAATTCTTGAAAAAGTATCCACATCATGCAATTCAAATTATTACTTGAACACATCCATGTCAAATATTGTTCCTTCTCAAGACAATTGCAAGTTCCATCACAACTGAATTCCATCCTAAAGTCACTGTTTGTTTCCCATGGGCTACAACAGTATTACTTGCATCATTGAACAGACCAATAAAAAAATAAATCATACTATCATGAAAAGACATGGATAAAAATTTCTAATTGTGAAAACAACATTTCCAAGAATTCTGGTCTTCAGCAGTTCAACACAACAGAAGTCTGGTTTTTAATGCTTCTAAACATCAATTTCAAGTGATGAATCTTAACTGTTAGTAAAAGGATTTAACTTTTCTGTTGCTTCAAAATAGTTTCATTTTTTTAGAGCTAAAAACTAGTTTGGAAGATCTCACTAGAAAAATTGCAGTCCAAGATAAATTTAAAACCAAAATTTATCCACAAATCTCTCATAAGTCAAACTATGCTAATAACTTTACCTCTCCATCTAGTTTCATTGAAATACCAAATTTTCTAACGAAAATCTTCAGTTTCTATCCTATGTATATCTCAAAGTAACTCCATTTCAAAATTGTTCAAAGATTTTTTTGGATAAAGCTTAAATTCTAATCAACAAATGTCACAAAATTAAACTGAACATGGAACCTCCTAAAGCTAAAAGTCTGAAATCCCTAAGAAGGGATAAGAACATAGGTAATTCTATTTTAATCATTGTCAATGTTTATTGAAATGAACAAAATCCTTTGTGACACCATTTATCTTATCTTATTTAACTTAAACTTAACACCTAACCAAGAAATGATAATGTGACTTTTTATTAAACTAAAAACATCAGAGCTTTTTTTAGATGATCTGTGTAACTATCAGATAATCTGATTCAAGAACCCCACAAATTTATGTTCTTCCCAAAGTTCATAAATCTGGTTTTCTTATATGTCTTGTGGTCTATGCCTATGGAACCTTTAATTCTTAAGCAAATATCTGGCTCGGGTATTTTCTCCTTATGTCAACCATGCCTCATCATTTGCAAAAATTCTGAAAAATTTTTCATAAAGCTAAAATATTTCAACCCACTTGATGTTATTGCCTGTTTTAACATGAGAAGCTTGTTCACTCAAGTACCTTTTTCTGAAGCACTGAATTGTATCCTTGATTGTTTCATAAATAACCCATCTCCTAAATCTTTACTTTCTTTTGAAGTTCTAAAAATCTTTCTCCATTCCACTAGCTTCTGCAACAACTTTTGATTTGAAGGCCTCAGTTATGACCAGATTGAGGGATTAAGTATGGGCATTCCAATTGCTCCTTTTCTTGCCAGCATATCCATAATCAGAATTGAAAATCAAGCTATTTCCATTCATCCACCAATTTTCTGATTACAATATGTTGATATTTCTACTGGCTTTTATGATTTCTCATCCATCAAAGAGTTCTTTTCACACCTGAAGCCAATTCATTCTGACTTTAAATTTACCATATAAAATAAACATCTTGAATGTTCTTCTAAAAAAGCAGGAAAAAAGTGCCACATCTTCAGTTATTATAAAGATATTCAGACCATTTTGTACTTACCTTGAAACTCCTACCATGACCCTTCTCAAAAATAAGGTATTATAAAAACTCTGTATCATTCTACAAGACTGTTTGTTCCAGTAACAAATATTTTCCATCAGATCTCAACATATTGAAAACAGAATTATTAACCCAAAACAATTTCCTCTGGAATCCATTAATAAAATATTTTCTACACAAAATAAAAAAGTCAAGTATAGATGAATGTCTTGTTTATTGCATAATTGTTTTTATTCCAAATGTTTCACATTCAGTCAGAAAGTCTTGGGAAACATTGTTCAGAAATCTGAAAATAATTTATCTATACAACTTGTGTTTGTTCATGGCAGAAATTATGGCAAGTTTTTTGTTTATAATGGTATTGATTTGTATGTCATTCTCATCTAACAATAAGCTCAACCAACCAAATACCAATGTATCCATCACAGTCATTGTGGTTGATGTACCTGATGATGCCAGATTAATCTGATGAAACATTGTAACCATACAAATAATACTCTGTGTATTCAATAGTAAACAAGTTTTCAAAAATAAGAGTTATTTAAAAACTTAATGACTTACTGAATAAAGAAGTGTGAAATGATAGAAATATCAAGACTATGATGTTGACCAAAAGCTAGTTGAAAATTGGAATTTTGAATATTATATGTGTTTGTTCAGATGTGGATTAACGGATATATAGCTGATATTATCATAAAGGGAAATATTTTTATTATTTGGTTTTTTCTATGTCATTATGACTTCAATTAACCTGTAATGTTATTGGGTTCTAAACAGGTATTTTTTGTATACTTTGATTGTTCTACAAATTTGTTGTTCTGTTTTGAGAAATATGACATTTTGTTTCAACATCAACAAAATTAAAGTTGTTTTAATTTTTTTTCAGAAAGCCATGATTCTGGTAATTTGTATTTCTGCTTTCGATGGTTGCTAATCCTCTTTAAACGGGAGTTTAAATTTCATGACATCATGAGATTATGGGAGGTAGGTAATTCTCAAATTGTTGTTAAACATAAAAGAGCCATTTATGATAAATAGTTTTGTTGAAAATTTTTTAGTTTTCTTTGAGTCAGTTGGTCTAATTTATCTTAAGAGTTTAATCAGGTTAATTAATACTTTTTTATAAAACACAGATTACATTTGTCATTGACCTGTTTTTTTATTCAGTATCTTACTTAAAGTACTGTAATTTAGAATATATACAGTAATTTGTTACAATCAGCATCATTTTTGGAATATTCCATCATAAATACACTACACAGGAGCCTTCTGCTAGTACATGTATTCATATTTGTGTATAATGTTGTTTATAATATGCTTTTTCCAATTAAGGATTGGCCAGACGTGCCAGCTGTGTTCGAGAAAACAATTTTTGGATCCAATACCAGAATCATCATCAAGTTATTACAGGAATATTTTCCAAACAAGTTTAAATATTAACACCATTATAGCAATGCATGCACAGATAACAAATAAAAATAGCATTAACATAACAAATATGCTCACACAGACCACATAAAAAAAGTTGACTGTACAAGTAGCAAATTTACAACAAATATATGCTACTATAAAATGTAAGACAATTTCATTAAGCTTCAAATTTGAGCTAAAATCTACATTTAATTCAGGATGTACTTTGTGTATCCACAGGCTCTCTTACATGCAGAGCATTTCTTTGTTGGCTGCACTTCTGCATGAAATTGAGCTAAAATCAGATAACAAAATTTTGAAGTTTAATAAAATCTAAATAAATCAAGCTCTCTGGTATTCATTAGGTCATTAAAATTTGTAATGTCAAAATTACTTAAATAATATTGTACCCCTAACATTATATTTGTAAATGAATATTATGAGATCTTTATTTGGCAACAAATCCCTAAAACCCAAAACATTAGGCTGTTGCTTAAAAATTCATGTTACCAATCATATCAAACCAAACAGGACCAATATCTTCAGTTCCTTGGTCTTTGTTTGTACCAGTTGTTTAACTGTTTTAATAACCATAGCTGAAAGTTTAAGTATATATGCAACTTATTGCCTAAGGAATAGTGTAGCATTTCTTTAACAGTTATATTTATCCAGCACAACTTATATTATTAATTGAAAAAAACCTTTCTTTCATGGTATAAAATAGAAAAAAAAGAAACATTTTTTAAGCAAAATCATGGACAAATTTTGATGTAAGCATACAGTAACCAGGAGCAGCATGACTCATTGGCTTCACACTTTAGACTTTTAGTTGGATGGTTGCAAGTTCAAAGCTAGCTATTGTGTTCTTCAGCAAGAAACTCTTTCCCCAGCTGTATGATAGGTATCAGCTATTAGTTGGGGGTTAACTTGTGATAAACTGGCATCATGTCCAGGGGAAATGTGTCAACATGTGCCAGTTAAGCTGGATTTCAACACTAGATCCTATGTACCGTCTCTTCAAGGGAGGGATTTGTCCTTTTTTAACAAAATAACTATGTTGTATTCTTTACAGGATCTATGGAAATATTCAAAATGTAGTCCACATTCCAAATTTTCAACAAATTTGAGCAGTATTAATATTAACCTTTCATTTACCAAACGTCCATCAAATTTATTTCTAACCTGTATGTGATAACTTGTAACACTGCTACAACCAGGGTTCAACAAAAAAAACAAGTTACTGAACTGTAACAACACTTGGAATATAATTTAGCACTTACCAAAAACACAATTAATAAACACATGTCTGACCAGGACATAATACTAATGTTAGTGAACAATTGTTAGACATAAATGGCTGTTTCATTTAAATTGAATACAAGAGTATTATTTAGTTTATATTGTGTGAGTGTTAAAGAAAGTTGTTTTTAAAAACAATAGTTATGGCAAGTTTGCTTACGTAACTGTTTATAAATCATTTGTTGTGTAGTTCAATTGTTATTAATTGATGTCATAAATCCATAGATAAGGGATTTGTCTTCTACCAGTGTGTGATGCATTTGGTATGCTGATTGTGAGTGTTAATTTGGTGATGCATGTTATATATTGGTTGTAAGTAATATACCAGAGAACCATTATTTCTACTTAACTACGCATTGCCAAAATATTTTGCTAAGAGTGCATCAGTCTTTTATACTCTATCAGTCTTGCTTAATTTCAGAACACATGCTGATCATGTGACTACAAAATATTGATTGTGCTTGATCACAAATTCATATCGGTTTCAACTTCTTGTGTTTGATTTCCATTGCTTCTACTCATTTGTTTTTGATGTTATTTGCCTGAGCAGACCCCACTTGTTGATCTTCCAAACTTATGCAAGACAGTTCCACTGGATGTTTTTGACCGGATGGACTACACTTGGCATAATCCAGTGTATCCCAAGGTGCTTCCCCAGGATGTTTTTTGTCAGGGAAAACTACACTTTTCCTATTCATATACAGTTTACAGTCCTTTAACCCTAGCCACGTATACTTATATCTAATTATCAAGCACTTTACTGTGACTAACTATCACTATTTCTCATGCTAATGCTTGCTACATTTATGGATGATTTATGCACTATCTGTTGACAATGAACTGATTCTATATTACCTGACATGGTGCCTGCCTATTACATTCCACTATCTTATGCCTATTCAAGAAGTAGTGCTATACCCCACAAGTGTGCCTTCACAGGCTCACCCACATTTGCAGTATGGGATTCTAGCTTTGGTTGAGTGGAGGTAGTACCATTTTTTTTACGTGTGTTTCTGATAGGTAGTTACTTCATCTCACCCACTTCCCATCCTTCCTCTCCAGTGACATGCCAGTGTTTCTAGTTTTTACCTGCCAGTTCTCAAAAATGAGGATTGTGCTAGAATACTAGTCAGAGCTACCTGCGCTGTTATAGATGGTGCAGTATGAACAGTGGAGTGTAGTCACATGATCAGCACATGTTCTAAAATGGTGCAAAAATAAAGGGGTATAAAAGACTGGTATGCTGTTAGCGATAAAATTTTAGCAATGCTAAGAGGACAAACCAAGGTCATGATAGCTTTGAGTTAGAGGAGGTAAGTACTTATCGGAAATACATTTTCAGTCTTAGAAAATGTTAACTTTCAAGTAGTGTGCTAGAGCTGTGTTTTCCAAGCAGTGTGGCATCAGACGTGAACAGGTATGCTGCAGAATTTTTGGAAAAGTCACACATAAGAAAAATAAATAAATAAATAAATGTATCATTTATATAAGTTTTGTGGACAGAACCAAAGTGTAATCTCTCTTGTTTCTCTTTCAGTACGGGAATTAGATGGTACCTTACACTACATTTTAATGACTTTGTAGTTCACTTGGTAATAAGAGTTGTGTGTAGGGCCAAATTTTTAAAAGGTACCAAGGAAGGGGTTGGTATGCCACACAACATTTTTATTAAAGTAAATGTCCTTGAGTTGGAAAAATTGGAAAACACTGTGCCAGAGGATTAGTAAACCATTCCTACCTACCTGATGGTTTCAAGCATAATTGTGGAAAATGGTTACTTCTTCTTTTGATAAAGCAAAATATGAACGTGATAATTGGAAGCATTTATTAAACATTTTGGAATAATCATAATTCTATCATCAATAAACTAGAGGTACAAAACAAACAAACAGTATTTGTGATTACAACAGAAATATATACATAAGAAGTAAAGAATTTGAATGTACAAATATCACACGAGAAAATGAAAAATGTGGCACAAATTATATGGTTAAATTAAAATAAGTTTAAATCCAATGAAGACTTTGTGTTATTTAGGGATGGAAGAAGAGTTTTTATCTACGAAGATTCTTTTATAAGTAGTTCAGTATCATTTTTGGCTGTTGAGAAAATTTTAAAGTTGGAAAGAGAAATTGGATGTCATTTTTCTGTATTGTGTTGATAGATAGCGGAGTGTTTGTAACCTTTCTTCCAGTTTTTATAGATATGTTCATGTGTTTACATGCTCATACTTTAAGGTGACCTTTGGTTTCACCAATATAGGAGGCCTTTCAGTCTCCACACATGTATAAGTAGACAGAATGTGAACAATGGGCAGTTGGCAAACAATCTTTGTAGCAGACAAAATTTGTTAGTATGAATTTGGGTTTTATAATAACTTTCAGGTCAATTCGGGGATAATAAGAGTTACATAATTTTTTTAACTTTTTCGTGATAAGGGAGCTCTGTCTCTCGAGATATGGTAAACAGATGTATAAGGGAAGTTTGGGTACAGTGGGTATCTTGGGTGGTTTGACAAACAAATTCTCTCTCCAACTTTAAAATTCTCTCAACAGCCAAACTCTTTTTCCATCCCTAAATAATACACAGTCTTCACTTGATTTAAACTTATTTTAATTTAACTATATAATTTGTGCCACATTTTTCATTTTCTCATGTGATATTTGTATATTGAAATTTTTTCTTCTTACATATATATATTTCTATTGTAATTACAAATATTGTTTGTTTGTTTTGTACCTACAGATTATTGATGATGGAGTTATGATGATTCCGAGACATTTAATTAATGCTTCCAATTATCATGTTTGTGTTTTGCTTTATCATTAAGTTGTATTTTCCAAAAAAATGAGTCGTTTACTAGTATACTTCTTCTGAGTTAGTAAGTTACCACTGCAAGAAATAACAGTGAGCCTTTATACAGTGCTTGTGGTTCTGTTTTCTTTTTGGTGCATATTCAACTTTTTCAGAAAATAAACTGATAACCTTTGTTAGTATTGTTATTTGATTTTTCTTTCATTATGAATTTTCTATATAGTTTGGTTCTCAGAGTTTAGTTGCTAAACAGTGATGAAACTGCTAAAAATAAATCAGAAAACTAGCACTTGTTCTCTAAATTCTTGCAGCATGTCTAGTGATAAGAATTATTATTCACATTAGATTGTTAATAGTTTAAGCATTTTGTTTTTGTCTTTCATACCTTAAATTGTGTTGTTGGTATTATAAACACAACACAATCTATAAAAGCTGTATCAGAGGTGTGTGTTGGATTTACTAAGATAGATATTTTTTTTTAAAATAGTCACATGGTAACAGTTATATCATGTCTCCTTCATACAGATCACTGTTTTGAAAGTTTTAGAACAGTTTTATGACCTTGTAAAATTTGAAATCCAAATATGCTAACTGTAAAATAGCACAGCAGTATCATTATGTATTTATATAAAGCTAAATACATATCTAAATTTACAGTTAAAAGTGAATCAGACTTAACAAATTTGGTTGTTATAACTTGTAGTTGTTTTAACTCTAAGTAAATCTTTAATACAAGATTGCATTTCTGCAAAAAAGCATTTCTATAAACTCTTTATGTGATAGATAAAAAATTTAAGTAATAAATTAAGTGTAATGATAGAAACATTTTAAGCCAACTAATATACTAGGAATTTTTTATATGTTTAATAGTAATAGCTATTACTTTACATTGTTGTTGTAAAGTAATAAAAACAATTTTTAGAATTTCTTTGTGACAAGATATACATGTCCTTCATATCTTAAAGTAATTACTATATCTGCAGTGGCCAATCTTAATAAGAATTTTCTGTATGTGATTCAGTATCTCAAAAGTTGAAACATATATATCAAAAATATATATATTGCCATCATTTGTCTTCTTATTCTTTGTTAGCCATCATTATTACATTCATTTAACACTTATCTATTTATGAATTTTAAAAACAAAATATTGGTTTTCTGATTCCTTTAATACTATTGTAACAGTGGTCACGTTAACTTTTTTGTCCATGCATTCCAAAATGCAAATGCCAAAAAATTTTTGTCCTGTCTTTTGGGAGCTGCATTCAAATACTTAACTATTGTTTGTTTGCACAGAATTAATGTAACCTTGCTATTTTGCCAAGATAAACACTTTTTATGATGTAAACATGATTATACAAAACTCCATGACCTTTAGCTTTAATGTAATAGATGTCAAAGTGAAATCACCCTGAACCACAGGATTTATACTTTGTCATATGTTCTACTATAAATCACGCTGATGATTCATTTACTTGCCAGTTTTTTGATAATAAGAAATCAATATATATGTATGTGATTTTTGCTAATTTCATTGCATTTTAACTCAGTGAGCACTGGTGATATTGTTCACCGATTTTAAGAAGTGATGACTTCATGTTTCAGCCTATTTTTTTGCATGCACAAAGTACCTGTGCATTGATCATCAGTATTCACCAGTGCTATAAATAAGTACAGATCCAGACTAAATCTTGTTCAAAATCAATAATAACTTATATACTCAAAAGAAAAGCCTAATAAAAGTTTAAAATTGACTTAATAAGTTATTTCCCTCTAATCATCCTGATTTGCTAAACCAAACCAACTGATTGTTAACCTTGGTGATGCTGAGCTTACTAAAACCTATAAAAATGCTCGATCTATAAGCTTAAACATCTGCTGGCCACCATTTAAGTTAAAATTTAATGAGTACATTTACCCCTTTGAAACTACTTACAAAACGTTAAAATACCAACATGCCATGAAAAGTACTAGTGCTCTTGATGTTAATAATGTTATTAAAACTAGGATGAAAAACATTGTCTTATTGTCTTTCTACAACTTTAACTCTCACACGACTCCCTTTCTTCTGTACAGAGAAGAATTCTTAGCTCTTAAAGAACTGGCTAACAATAAGAATATCATTGTTACCCAACCTGATGAAATTACTGAAATTGTAATTCTAAATGAATAGGATTACACTAACAAAATGAGACAAATTCTATAAGACACTAATAAGTTTAAGCCTTTAAATACAAACCTACTTAACCATTCAGCATGAAGAAAAACTGCCACATGTACTTTGAAATTTAAGAAAAGAAAAAATTATTTCTGATACCACTTTTGATGAACTTTATCCTTCAGGCTCCTCCCATGATATTATGTTTGGCCTTCCCATAATTCACAAACACAATTTTCCACTCAGACCTGTCAATTCCAATATTGACACCTATACCCACAAACTTGCTAAATTCCTGTTTCATATTTTAAGCCCCCTAATGACAATTATCTTGTTTTTTCCTCAATTTTGTTACTAGTGCTTATGTCATCAAAGATTCCTTTTCTTTTGCTCATGGAATTTCTCATTTTCCAGATGCCAACCAATATATTATGGCAAGCTTTGACATTGAATCAGTTGTTACTAACATTCCTGTAGAAGAAATTATACAAATCTGTCTTAACAAACGATTTCCCAGTAACGATAGTCTGAGGGCTGGATTAAACAAACAGCAACTTGCACAACTACTTAACTTAGCTTTAAAAGAAAACTACTTTGTCTTTAATGGTCAGTTATATGACCAGGTAGATGGTGTTGTGATGGGTTCACCACTAGGACTCTCACTAGCTAATATCTTTCTTTGTCACCATGAGCATATGTGGCTAAACAAGTGTCTTTCTGACATTACACCCATACTTTCTACCAAAGGTATGTAGATGATTCATTCTTATTCTTCCATAACTGTGAACACAAAAACAAACTCCTCAACCACTTAAATTCTCAACACCCTAATATAAAATTTACTTGTGAAATTGAAAATCAAACAAACTTTCTTTCCTTGACCTTCAAGCTCAAAAAAGAGGTTAACAAATTTAGCACTTCCATTTACAGGAAGAAAACTTTTACTGGTTTGTACACATGCTTTGAGAGGTTTCTGTCAAAATCATTCAAAATAAACTTAGTCTTAACTTTTTTTCACAGGGCCTACTCAATCTGCTCGGATTACATCTCTATTTATAATGAAATAACTTTCCTTCAGAACACCTTAAGAAAAAATGTGTGTCCTTCATCCTTACTAGAAGGCCCGGCATGGCCAGGTGGTTAGTGAAACTCGACTCGCAATCTGTGGGTCGCGGGTTCAAATCCCCATCCCACCAAACATGCTTGCCCTTTCAGCCGTGGGGCGTTATAATGTGACGGTCAATCCCACTATGCATTGGTAAAAGAATAGCCCAAGAGTTGGCGGTGGGTGGTGATGACTAGCTGCCTTCCCTCTCGTTTTACACTGCTAAATTAGGGATGGCTAGCACAGATAGCCCTAGTGTAGCTTTGTGCAAAATTCAAGAAACAAACCTACTAGAAAACTTAACACATAACGAAAAGAACAAAGAAAAGAACTCCACTGAATAATATCTAAAGATGTTCCAAGTTCCCTCTAACACTTGTTATTCCTTTCCTTGAAAAACAAAGTCTTATTGTTAAAATCCAACTGAACAAACTACACAGGTCCTTCTATCCCTAGAATAAACTTCACGTTGTCACTCCATATCAGTAGCATTTGTAGACCTAAAGACACTTTCACTCTCACATTCAAAGGTAGCTGTAAAACCTCCATAAATAGGCAA